ATAAGCAGAAGGTACAGGAAACACCAAACAGCTCAGGAAGCATCTGTGGAGAGACAAATGCAGTTAAGGTTTCAGGTCAAGGACCTTACCCTCGGCAGGGAGGATGCTTGACCCGATGAGCGTTTCCAGCATTATCTGCTTTTAACCTCGTGTCGCAGTGAATTCTGTACTCAATTGTTAGTACGTGGCCAACAGACTCACACTGACCCGGTTTGGGATACAGGAGGATTCTGGGAAGGTAGCTGGGGTGGGGGAGTTCAGCAGCATAACACTGGGCGACTGTTGTCACATGTTCATCACTGAAACGGGCCAAGCACACTAGCTCTGCTACTCAGTCTGGACAGTGAAAACTTTCACCAGGGCTGAACAGGACTCAACATTAGCCAAGTTGAAGAGATGGCCTTTAGTGAGAGATTAAGTCCCACTCATAATCCTTAGGTGAACACCAATGCCTCCATATCCCTTGAACCCCATTTGCAATGGGAGAGGATTGCAAAACATTTTTCAGACCATGTCTGCTCACACATTACTAACGTCCCTGGCTCTTTACATTGTGGAGCATCTAAACATGCTGTTCCATAATGCGTAGGCATTCCTGAAGTACCTTCCCCTCTGAAGAGATAGGCACGGATGCCACTGTGGTTTTGTAGCAGCAATGTAAAACTGACTTGAAACCCGTATTACTCCCCAGACAGTTACATCACCAAGTATGAGCCTGGTTTGGTTCAGAGTCTCATGATCTCAGCTGCATTCATGTGAAGACAAAAACTACTTCAACCACAAGAGATTGTCAAATACATATTCATGTGAAAGTTCAGTAATAATAACTGAACAATTGCATGTTAATAGATTCCAAGCCAGTTGGGAAGAGATTGAAATCAAGACATATATCTCTTCTTTTGCAGAGAGACTTCCTCAAACTTACACCTTTTGTTCCATATCCTGTGTTTCATGTGCTCCCTATTATATATGGATTTTTTTTTGTTCCACTCAACCTGCTCAGAGATGTCACTATACATTTCTGGAGCAGATGGGACATGAACCCAGACCGCCTGGCTCAGAGGCAGGGACACTACTACTAATACAAGCGTCCCTTCAAGGCCCTGCCTACCTTTATACCTTACCTCCCCCAATCACCCTAGGCTTATTATTTCAACCTGTTAACCGCCAAAAAAAAAAATCACCCGCAGTCTCCAACTGAATAATTTATGTGTCGATCCCATTAACGGTAAGCAAAGCATCAAAAGGTGAGAGGGAGTGGTGGGAGAATAGGAAAGGGTTAAATCAAACAGAGTTGGAAGGGGAGATGAAGCACTGTAAACCCCGCGGTGCCCACTCTCTCTAAAACTGGTCCAGCCTGCACCCAGACAACTAACAGCCACCACTTGTTTCTCCTAAGCCTAAATAAAAGTTATGAACAAACATAACAATCTGACCATCAGACATTAGACCTCAGTTGCAGGGTGATTTTGTTCATACAGACGTGGCTTCAAGAAACGAACACATGCTGGGCACCAAGTGAAGGTTTCAAATCTATAATGATGCTTCCGTTAGCACAGTGGTGGTTATAGAGTCATACGGCATACAAGCAGACCCTTTGATCCAAGTAGCCCATCCTGAGTATGTTCCCAGACTAAACTAGTCCCACTTGCCAGCATTTGGCCGATATGCCTCCACACTTTTCCTATTCATTTACTTATCTAAATGTCTCTTAAACATTGTAACTGTTCCTACATTCAACACTTCTTCTGGCAGTTCATTCGACACATGAATCATTCTCTGTAAAAAAAAAGTTGCCCCGCATGTCCCTTTTTAAAAATCTTTCTCGTCTCACCTTAAACATGTGCCCCCTAGGTTTGAAAACCCCCCCCCCCCCCCCCCCACCCACGCCCCCCCCCGGACCCCCCCCCCCCCCCCCCCCCCCCGCACCTTAGGGAAAAGACCCCTGCCATTCTATAGCCCTGTAAAGGTCACCCCTCAACCTCCTATGCTCCAGTGAAAAATCCAGCCTATTTTTATAACTCAAACCCGCCATTCCCAGCGACATCCTAGTAATCTTTCCCGAACCCTCTCCAGCTTAATAATATCCTTCCCATGACAGGGTGGTGAGAGGCCTCACCAATATCCTGTACAAATCTCAACATGACATTCTAACTCCTATACTCAAAAAGGTCTGAACTTTGAGGCACGCTAAACGCCTTCTTAACCACTCTGTCTACTTGTGACGCAAATTTCAAGGCTTCTTCTGGAGTACTGTGTCCAGTTCTGATTGTGCTGATATTGGCGGTCAGCTGGTAGAAATAGCAGTAGATTGTTCACTCGGGCAGTGTCCTGTCTTCCTGTTTCTCTCCCTCTCAGTGACCGCTTTGGTTGGTTAGAAAGTCTCGATACCATGTTCCATCCATCATACTGCCTTAACAAGGCTCTATACAACTGTAGTGAGACTTCTTTACTCACGTACTGAAATCTTGTCATAAAGGCCAGTACACCATTACCTTCCGAAATGATTGCTTCACCTCCAGGTTAATTTTCAATAATTCATGAACAAGGACACCCAGGTCCCTTTGGACATCATCACTTTCAAACTCTCACCATTGAAGAAATATTTTGCATTTCTGTTTTTTCTTCCCGAAGCGAATAAATTCACATCTTTCTACACAGTAAATTCCACCTGCCATACTCTTGTCGACTTGCCTAGCCTATCTAAAACCCTTTGAAGCCTCTCTGCATCCTCCCATAACTCACTTTCCTGCCTAGTTTTGTGTCATCAGCATACTTGGAAATGCTACATTTGGTTCCCACATCCATATAATTGATGTAGACTGTAAATAGCTGGGATGTCAAGCACAGATCCTTGTGATATACCACCAGTCACAGACTGTCAGCCTGAGAATTTATTCCTTCTTTTTTTCTATCCATTGACCAATTGTCAAGTCATGTTAGTATGTTAACCCCTCATTCCAAGCATGCTCTACCTTTGCTTACTAGCCTCACATGCAGGATGTTAGCAAAAGCTTTCCAAATATTCAGAATATTCTCCTTTATCCATGCTCCAAGAAACATCCTCATAAACTCACAACAGATTTGTCAAAACAGAATTTCCCTTTATCAAATCCATGTTCACTCTACCCAATCCTCCAACTATTTTCCAACTATCCCATTATCACCTGCTTGATTAATTGATTTTAGCATCTTCCTTACTGTTGATCATGTCTGGCTAACAGGTTTCTAGTTCCTTATTTTCTCTCACTCTGCTTTCTTAAATAGTATGGTTCATCTTGCTATCTTCCAACCTGCAGGAGACATTCCAGAGTCGATAGAAATTTGTTTGGATTGATAAAACAACCATTGTATTTAACTTCCTGTAATCTTTTCTCTGTGTCTCATGGGCTGTCCCAGTAACTTTTATTGTTTTGTCTTTCAGGCTGTCTTGTCCACTTTCTGCACATTTTACCACTTCATCTCTCCACCAGCAAAACAAAATGAACTAGGCTCCACCACACAACAAAATGGTAGGAAGCCAGCTGATTAAAGTTTTAAAGAGAGAGATTTGACAGATCAGAATTTCATGCATTTCTTTAGTTCAGATTCCAAGTTTTTTTAAAGTTATGCCTGATATAGTAATGTATCCAAACATAGTGAGTAAACAAACATTGGTTTCTCTACTCAACAGGACTAAAGGTTTGTTGACACTGATCTCAAAAAGTTAAGGCTCCAAATTGAAGCACAGTTAGAATCAGTCTTCACAAGTAAGAAATTGCTGGAAAATCTTTGATGACTCTGAAACTCTGACATGCAACTGCTTCAGGTGAAACTTGTAGAGGTGAATCATTAAACACCACAGCAAAACTAACCACATCCATACAATAAGCAGTTGTCTAAGGTAATGCTCCTGTGACGCACATGTTGTAGAATAACAACCACAGTCTTGGCAAGTAACTTAAATATAAATCATAGTGCAAATGTGTGGACAGCAGATAAAATCAGATTTGACCACATTCTTACTGGGTGACTATAAGTTTGCCCAAAGCAATGTGGAAGCAAAATACTATCGAGCCAGTTGCGAAGTCAACAGCATTCCCATCAAGGGCAGGCATCACTTGTGCAATCAAAATGGTTGAGAAATGTAACATGTAGTGTAAGGCAGGTGTGCAAGAACTGAAGACACACAAAACAAACTGAAATATAGTCAAATCTGATCAATCATACCCCAACACTTACCCAGCTCCTGAAGGGAGATTTCAGCTTACTTTATCCATTGCCATCCCAGGTTGGATTTCACCACCTGCGCTCATCCCATTGCTCCCCTTCCCTCTCCGGTCTACAGATCGATTCTCTAGAAAACCCTCCAGCCGTGCTGAGTGCAGACCCACTCCATTCACTCATTGCCTCCTCAAAATGTGGCTGTTGCTCAGCCTGCTCATTTCGCAAGCGAGAGTAGCCCTTGCCATTGTGCAAAATGTTACCTGCGCACTCAGTAAACTTGAATGTTCACGAACTCAGGGTCTCTCAAAGCGGTTGCCGTGTTTCTGAAGTGCAACCACTTGTGTTACTGAGGGAATATGACAAGCCAAGCCAATTAGGGCACAGCAAATTCTGACGGACAAGAACGGGAAATATGACCAGATATTGTTGGAGAGGTAAATGTTGGCCCAAACATGAGCTCTAAAAGGAGAACCTCTTCAAAATAGTGCCCATTGGATCTTCTACATCCACTTCAGACAGCAAGAGGGGCCTTGGTTTAGCATCTAATCTGATAGACAGCACCCAAGAGTGCAGACGTAGTACAGCTCTGAACTGCCAGGCTAGCTTAGGTGCTCAAACCTGTGCGGTACATTTGCAATCTGCATCCTTCCACATCATTGGCAAGAATGCTATCACTGAGCCTTAGTTAACACTTAGAAGCAAGAGATGTTGCTTAACCACTGCAGTGTCATCCCACACTCAGTTGGTACAATATCCCTTGCTAATGAACAAGTAGTTTTCAGACAACTGCATGATTCATTCATGATTCTTTTATTTATATGTCACAATCCTTTATTTCTGCTAGAACATTTTTATTCATTACGTACATAAAATCTGCAACAAATACAGAAAACGTCAGAAATATATAACAGCAAGAATGGAAAGAGAGAAGAGATTATGAGGTTCGAGCAGAACAGGACCAAGAATGTTACAATTTGCCTTTTCTATCTGCAGAGGTGGACTAGTCTGCACTTCCTGTTTTTAGTTCAGATTCCCAGCAATTGTAATTTTCACATTGCATCTTGAAATGCACATCAGTTTCATTTACTTTCGCTAAGAGTAGAAAAGTTCTTCCAGATTCTGAGATGCATTACAGCAACATGCATCCCCAAAAGTTTTCACAAAACTCTTTGGTTAAGTTAATTTGTTACTGATAGTTCCATCAAGTGCTGCTTTAATGATGTGGCACTAAATGGAAATCCAGCCCAGACAGCAGGGACACTAGGCTACTGTCTGATGGCTGTGAAATTAATATGAACAGTCTTGATTCAGCTCCCTGCAAACATATGACCAGGGCTTGTGATTTCCCACAACCTGGCATTCACGGCAGAAACTAAACAGCCTCATTCAGAAAAGCTGCAGTATTTGAAAGAGCTGGCGTTCAACAGAAACAAGGATATGAAAATAGGCACTCTCCTGGGACTGGGATTCAGGTATTTGCAGCATGATAGACAGAAATGGATCACAACAGAGCGCTAATTACCCATTGTCCAACTTGGCCCAGTGGTTTTCTTGCATGAACCAGCCAGCTCAGATTAAACGCGCAGGGACAACACCCATGCACACAGATGAGCTGAAGGAAAGGTCAAGGGAGGTCAGATGTTTCAAGCAGCCAGGTCCAGAGAAAAAAGGTGACTTGGAGTTGAATATGATGGAGTGACAAGTCAGTGAGATCAATTGACAGAATGAAGCAAAGTACATGAGGAAAAGCACACACGACAGCTTCTTCGCCCCACCTTCCTTCAATCTCAAACAACCCATCATCAGCACATTTGGTCTGGCCAACATTAATCCTGCAAGCAAGCTCCAAGAAAACAGGCTATCTGGTCGTTGGCATAATGCTGTTCCTGGGAGCTGGCTATGTCTTGGTTGGCTGTTCATTCTGCTAGATGCCAACTGTTGTCCCCATTTCAAATTGTATGGCATTGACTGTGAAGGACTTTCTAAAAGCAGGCCCTCGTCTTTAAAAAAAAAGAAAAAAAAAAAAAATCGGTATATACCCAACAAGACAATGTACAATATCACGTTGAATTAGATACACATCCATAGATAGATTTAGGACAGGCCCAACATGTACCTTGATGCCCCATTCAAATCTGATTACGCTGTAGCATACGGGACAAAGTTAACACTATTCTATCACCAACTTAGATGGTCTCAAAAGACACTACACAGCTGAACCACAGGGAAATTTGGCAGCTCCAAACTATCATTTATGTGCTGCAAGTGTACAATTACATACGTAAATAAAACATTAAAATCATCAGCTAGAACAAGGACCATGTCTTTAACGCAGTTATTGGTTTTGAACTGCAAAAAGAAACGGTCGATTTTGCAACATCGTCAACCCGAAAGCCAGGTCTTCAACTCGACAAAAAGTCTACAACACCAACTTTTATCACATTTAAAAAAAAACACCTTTTGAGTGACACACTAAAGGTAGATACCAACATAGTGCTAACTCCAATTAGAATAGCAAGGCAATCTGTTTCACCATCCAGTTAGGTTACAGACAATCTGCAAGTCCTAGGAATGCAGAAATACGTGAGACTTTGTACTGACCAATAAATACAGATGTCCCCAAAGCCTAAAGTAGGTTTCAACAACAGCCAGACTTTAGATTTTTTTCTAAAAACTGGCAGTGGGCAACAGAACAAAGAAATTTGCTCATTTTATGCATTGAATGTACCTCAAAAATAAATGACGAAATAATTTGTAATACTCAATTTTTTCCTAGGGTGATCTAACGCTTTAAAGATTTTGATTTAATAACAATGCCTGTTTCTATACCATCTTTAACATATGGCAACATTCCCCCAAAGTTCCTCTCAGCAGCATAATAAAACATAGCAGGACACATTAGGTCAGGCAATTAAAGGCTTCGAGAAAATGGGAGGTTTGTTTTCAAAGGTGGAAAGTGAGTTTGTGAGGTGGAAAGGTGTATAGAGGCATTCCAAAGGTGGGACTTAGACAAGTGAAGGCACAGCCATCAGTGGTGATGTATAAGATGGACCAAGCAAAGGTGAAGTTGACAAGTTGGTTTAATCTCAGGTTGTTCCAAGGGCGAAGAGATGTACTCAGTGTTAGGGATTGATTTGTCTGTGTTCTTGCCTTTCCCAGGAGATTACAAAAACTATAGGAGGTAGGAGATGCTAGTCATGTTGCTGTAGACACAGATATTGGACAAGTTCAATGGATCAGTTTCTCTTTTCCTGCCTGACAAACAGCAATCTGCATGTGTAGAATGATCTACACAGTTACCCAGCAAACTGCACAACGTCAGGACAACCTAAGCTGCTCGTAGACCAGCAAGTGCATCCAAGGTATTGCCGTCACTGCTACAATGTAACAAATGCAGCCAGCAAGAGCCCCCTCTGTTCTTCAGGGAGGGAATCGTTTACATTGACCCATTAGCACAGACAGGGCCTTGTTTTAACATCTCACTTGAAAGAATAGCACCTTTGACAGCCAAATACTGTTGAATACTGACATGTCGTCCTGTATTTTACATTCAATTCCCTGGAATGGATCTTGAATTCACTACCATTGGGTATAGAGGGTGAAACTTCTACCACTGAGCCACAGTCAGCTCCTAATAGTCATTCATCTAAATCCAAACGGTGGCTTATCCGAGCAGATACATCTCAATGTGAAACGCATAATGTAAACAAGGAAACATCTAACCTTTCTTTATGTAATCCAATGGACATTTGAAGAAATGTTTGAGCCTCAACAGGAGCATTACAAAGGAAGAGGCAGTGCTTCCCAAATTTTTTCCCTTTGAGATCCTATCTCAAGGTTTGAAAATTGCTGAGGGCCCTCAGTGAGACCTGTGAGAGGAGGATGAGGTGGAGGGCGTGTAAGACATGGCGGCCTGTTTGTCACATTGGGAAGGTAGTTGTTATAACTAAGAGCTCTACAATCGGGCATTGATACCTTGGAGTTCGTGACCCCACTCATGAGTCCCAACTACCTCTCCCCACACCCGTAAACTGCAAGAACCAACTCCAAAGACCAGATCCCACACACTCTCTAAGTTTCTGTTTATTGTAAAAAGACTTCAGTCAAACTGACATTACCTTGAGGGATCTTCAAAACATCAATTCCACTTTTCTGGACTGTTTTCCCCCCCAAACAACAATTCAGCATTAACCACTTACAAAGATATCTTTCAACATTTTCTGCATAAAACTGCTCAGTCCAATCAGCAGGAGGATTGAGAAGATGCTAGAAGGTTTTTCTGTTATAATGGTTGAACACAGGTCAACCGAGTTCTTCTGGATCAGCTGCTTCTATTAAACCTGATCATTCATAACTTGAAGAGGTTCCCATGGATAAGAAAAACAACTGGCATTTCAGAAAGAAGATGCATCTTATTCAAAACTACGTGGTCGTGAGACAGTTGGGAGTCGATTTCTAAACCAGAAGGGATTATGGGATGACAGTTTCAGAGGGAAACTGCTGTTTGAGGATCCATTTTGAAAAGCCATTCGCCAGTTTCGACAATAATTCTTTACCGCTCCCCTTGGAATAACATCACCTGCAAATTGGAAATTCCATTCAGAGAGCCCATAATGTGTGCTGGTGGACAATGGAAGGGCAATGCAAATTGTTCAGCTGAATTAAGCGACCTCCCGCATTTCCAATGCCTTCAGGAAGGCAGATTATTATCTGAATGATGGCGGTTTAGGAAAAGGTGAGGTGCAACGAGACCTGGATGTCATGGTGGAACAGTCACTGAAGGTTGGTCATCGTTAAATTGTTTGTGGGAGCTTACTGTGCACAAATTGGTTTTTCTATTTTCCACATGGCAACAGTCACTATACAAGAGAAGCAAATTGATGGTACAGTGCTTTGGGATGCTCCAAGGTAATGTAAAGGTGCCACACAAATGCAGATAAAACTGCTTCATATCTTCAAATTATCCCAATGGTTTGTTTTAATGAGGAAACTGATTTGAGACCACCAGCCTGGGAACAAGAAAATGAGTCTCTATCCAAAAACTTTATTAAATCGCAGGAACAATCTTTCAAAAACACCAGTTAAGAGAGTTACTATATTGCACGATGCCATAGCTGGACACTTTCCAATAACAAGCTTGTCTGAGATACTGGCTCCTTGAAACCATGCTGGAACTTTGATTGAAATCCGGGACAGCGCTTTCAAGTGACTGCATTCACAGACACTCAGACGACACTGATTACAATACCTCCTTCCCTCTCAGGTTGGAAGCAATTAACTATTGCACGTTTACAGCTCCCAGAAAGACTGCTCTGAAATTCTGCAACTTCACTAGCATTCCATTTAGATTGGATACAGGAGTTCCCTCCACGCATCCCAAGACCCCAAACAGAAATACAATCTTGGAGCGCAGCACACACATTGACTTCAGCCCTTGGGCACTTCTGATATATTTCACTCGGCCTTTGGTCGCAACGCTCACAAATGCTTTTTTTGGACGGGGCAACAGCCTGGCAATCCCTGACTCAAGTACAAACCCATTCTGCCTAACACTCCCACAACCCCTACCCTGGTTTGTCATTCAGCCAAGTACAGGTTCTAAACTGACCTAGCTGGTTGTGGCTTGCACTGAATCCTCCACGGAACACGTCTCTTTTCGGAATGTCGTCAGCACCCTCACAACAAAATCAATCTTGCATTGGAGCCTCTAACAAGCACCAGGCCCCATATTTCAAATCAGCAAACCACTGCTTTTGGCTCACAATAAGGATATGTTTCTTGGAGGATTAGAAGACCTCTCGATAATGATTTTTGAGCGCTGAACACCTTATTCATAGGCCTTAATATGTACAGCTTGCTAGTTCAACGCAATGGAGGTTTGAGCGCTCACATTGATAAGCTCAGGCCTCATGGACGCCCCCCACCGCCCCCCAAGAAAACATGGCCACCCAAACCTCTAGGCCAGGGAGTCTTCCTGTCAATTTTCCCCACCAGTACTGTACTCTTGTCAAATGACATCAATGGACACAATCTAGTAAACACTGCTCTCTGTGTTTGGCTGACGCCAAATGCCGAGTTTCAGAAAGACTGATATCTCCAGATGTGGGAGTCTGGTGAATGGCTGACGTAGGAGATCCTCTATACATGTTTGCGTGAAGGCTTAGGATTAACCAATAAACATCCACAAACGTCAAGAGGAGATACATCCACAGGCCAGCACAAAAGAGCCACAGTGCTCAGTCCCAAATGCAGTATCTGGTGCAGCATGCAGCAGTAGGTATGGAGCACAGTCACTCCAGTGCCGGTCACCAACAACTGTAAAGGACAATACAGTAGGCAAAGGACCTGCATGATAAGGGCATTCAGTTTGTAAGGTGGTTTATTTAAATCCCTCATTCCAGCTATTAAGACAACAACGTTAAATAATCCAATCAACATCATTCAAATCAGATTTTGAACAATGTATGCAGTTTTCAGTAAAAGATCTGAAAAAAGCTTTGATGATATTTACTAAACAGAACACTCCAAAAGCAGGAACACATTAATGCACAGAACTAGAACTACTTACTGACTCAGAATTAGTTACTTAAATGTTTACCAATACCAGACACGGTTGGAGATGCGAGGGTGAGGTAGTTGGGGTGGGGAGTGGGAACCAGACAGAGACAGAGAGCGAGCGAGACAGAGACAGACAGACAGACAGACAGACAGGAGACAAGAGAGAGAGCACGGGGGGTGGGGGGCAAGAGCAAGTGAGATCGCCACCACTTGCTGCCCACAAAAAGACCCATTTATTCCCACTCTCTGTTTCTTGCCTGTCAACCAATTCTCAGTCCATGTCAGTATCTGACCCTCAATCCCACATGCTTCAATTTTGCCCACTAATCTCATATTATCAAAAGCATTCTGAAATTCAAGTATCCCCTTGGGTTCCCCTTATCTATTTCACTATTTACATCCCCAAAAATCACCAGAAGATTAGTTAAGCATGATTCCCACT